GCATTATTAACATTAAGTTGACGCAGAGTCCAACCACGAGAGACCGCAAGGCTAAGAGCGACACGAATAGTGGTAGGTTTCAACTCCAGACCGTTGATGAAACCCTTTGGCTACGAATCGAGCCTTGTACCGATCTATCGAACCATCCGGCTTACGCTTGATGCGAAAAACCCAGCGACATCCGATGACATTTGAGGCTGGAGCTCGGAACTAGATCCCAAGTGTCGTTTCTACGCAGAGCTTGAAACTCCTCCAACATAGCAGCACGCCACCGAGGATCTTTGATGGTTGAGTGACGGACGAGGGTTCCATATCTGAGCTAACTGCAGATATCACAAGAGAGTCCTTTGGATTTGGCTTCGTGATGTTGTTTTTAGACCTCGTATTCATCGGATGTACATTTCATGGTGCACAAGCAACAGAGTCCGAGACAACAACACTGTCAGCAGGTGTCGGTCGAGAGTCCAAAGCACAATCAGATTCAGCAACTGGTGGAGCAGTGGGCAAAGGATCGGAGCTCGGGGACTGTACTAGAGATGGAGCAATGAAAGGCGGTTAAAAGGAATCGACAGGCCAAACAAGAGGACATGCTGGACAAGGAGACACAGACTCGGAACTGGATGGGGAAGATTGACGTGAGAGATCCAAGAAAGGAAAGACGTTTTCATGAAATTGGACATGATGTGACACAAACACACGAGATGAGACCGGATCAAGACAGAAATATGCACTCTAAGTAGGAGAATAACCGAGGAAGACACATGCCTTCGACCTAGGATCTAGTTTACGAGATGTGTATGGGCGGAGCCAAGGATAACACAGACAACCAAAGACATGAAGTTTCGAGTAATTGGGAACTAAAGAAAAAAGACACTCATACGGGCTAGACATGCCAAGAACGGGGGTAGGCATGCGATTAATGAGATAAACCGCGGTCGAGAAGGCATAAGACCAATAAGAGACGGGGATGGACGCGTACGTGAGAAGAGATAATCTGGTTTCAACGATATGACGATGACGACACTCAGAAATACCATTGTATTCGGGAGTATGTGGAGGAGTGGTTAGGTGAGAGATACCGTGAGAGGTAAGAAAGGACGACAAAGCAAGAAACTCATCACCATTGTCGGTATAAAGAGAAACAATTTTGGAATTGAATTTGGTCTCAACTAGTGGTTTGAGACGTTCAAAAGTGGTTCGAACATCAGATTTGCGTCGTAAGGGATATAACCACGAATAATGAGTGAAGTGATAAACAAAAAGAACATAATATTTGAATCCATCAATGGAGAGAACATGAGACATCCATACGTCAGAAAAAATAATCTCAAGAGGTTTAGACGAAGTGAGAGTCGAGGATGAAAACGAAAGCTTATGACTTTTATTAATATTGCAAGAATGACAAGGCAAAGCAGAAAACTCCCGAGACAATGGTAACAGAAATTTAGATAAAAGATTTTTTAAGATAGGTAAAGCAGGATGACCTAAACGAAGATGTCATTCGGACAAAGTGGACTTTGAACATGAAAAGACTTGAGGAGATGCTGAAGAATCTAAAGATGAACTGACTGACGGCCACTCATACACTCCATCCATACTTCGACCTCGAAGGATTAGCGCCCCCGTACTGCGATCCTTCACCTTAAAACCAGACGAAGAGAATTCCACGAATACATCATTAGTAGAACACAACTTGTTCACAGAGACAAGATTCTTGCACAAACCCGGAACACAAAACATCATCAAGTCGAACTGAACGAGATGAAGCAGGGATAGAAAGTGAACAGGTATGGGTAATCGAATGGCTCGACCCATCTCCAACAACAACATCCTCACCACTTGAGTAAGGACTATGAATAGCAAGGTTGTGCAAATCCGTAGTGATGTGGTGAGAGGCACCACTGTCAAGGAGCCATTGATCCGGCTCATAAGGCAAATAAACAGCGGCATGAGCTCTTGGCTGCCATGGCCGAGAAGAAGGAGACCACGACGAGGAACCATCCGAACCAGGTTGAGCAGCGACGAGAGTGAATTGATGGCAGCGAATTGCGCTATGACCGAAGATGCCACATGTTTGGTCAAGTGTTGGTGTTGTGGGCGAAAACAGGGAAATGTGTCAGGGGAACAACAATCAAGATAAGCAACTTGGCTTCATGATTCAGCAATTTTTCGTGCAACTCACTGATATAAATAGCCCTGTCTCGAGCTTGAACAACATTAATGACAGGCTTGTATTCTTTCGGTAGGCCGTCGAGGATTGCTTCGAGAACATCCTCATGGTCCATCGATTTTCCGAGCAATGCCAATTCATTAGATTTAGTGGTAATGGACCGAAAATAATCATCAATAGATTGAGAGCCTTTAACACTGCTCCGGATCTGATCCGGGAGCTGCAGCAAGTAGTCGCGGGAAGCTTTCCCATAAATATCAGCAATGGTGTTCCATGCTTGACGCACGGAAGCAGATCGAGCAACGAGTGGTTGAAGTTGAATGGAGATAGTACCAAGGAGAGTGCTGAACAGCATGCGATCTTGCTGTTCCCACGGTGCAAAAGCGAGATTTTCCGTGCTACCCATCAACGGTGATTGTAGCGGTGGGGACAGTGGTCGTGTCATCAATGAAGCAAACTAGATTATGAGCCTCAAGAAGAGTCCGGATTTGAATACTCCACGTAATGTAGTTGGTGTTAGAGAGCTTTGTGATATTGGACATATTGACGAAGAGAAGAGATTCCTGCGGGATCGATGGATCAAACGTGGCGACGGTTTCGATTGAACGAGAGGCAGAGGCTTCATCGGAAGAAGACATGGTGATGCGCCGGCGACGAGAGAGCTGATCGAAGAACTCTAGGGTTTATTTAGCTCTGATACCAAATAATAACTATGCAAAAGTGGCTTAGTTATTATTAACAATATTATGGTATTTATACAAAAGATTTAACCTAATCATAATTACATGAGTTTACACATATACCCTCTATACTTTTCCCGTATTACCCATAGACCACATGGGAACTGCATTAAGGGAAACTGGGCTTATCAATGGACAAGGGAGATGGGCTAACATATGTATAATGTGGATCTCACCTAGTGTTTTTAAGAAAAATTTCCAAAAGAATGGATTTTCTCATGTAGAATTGTTTTTAGAAAAAATCTCATATAAATACTATAACTCCATAAAATATACTAAATAAATACCTAAATTTTTAAGTTTGATCTAATTGATATCTTAAATATTAAAATATTTAAAATTGATATTTCAAATGTTAAACTATTCTAAACTAATATTATAAATCACGAAATCGAAAAAAATTTACAACATCGATTTGTTTTTTATTTAAGATATTATCGTCAAATTAATACATTATCATCAAAAGGTTGAGTTTGAGAATTTCAATCGATTTCATGTTTTAAAATATTTTAATTTTTTAGATATCAATTTAGAAGATTTTATATTTAAAATATCAATTAGATCAAATTAACATTTTAGTTATTTAAAGTTGTGATAATTATATGAGATTTTTCATTTTTTTTATTTTTTCCTTATTTATTTTATGTGTGGGGCCTACTCAGATCAGAATGCGCACAAAACTTGGCTTCATTGTAGTGTTGGGCCTGAATAATTGGGCTTAATCAGCTTATTGGGCATCTGTTAAGGCCCATTATATTTTAAAAAGGTTTGAATATTTGAGCCTAGTACGAATCATGGTCCAGCAAGTGCTGTCGTCTCAATTAATATAATGACCCATAAAATATTGCTGTGGAATTAATCTTATAATGTAAGATGATTACAATAGTATTTAGCATACAAGGTCTAGTTTTATTATTGAATTGACCTGAACAGAAGTTCAATAAAACCAGAAATATTCATATTAAAATAATGGTCGCTTATTTTTATTTCGTTAATGTTGAAATAATTTATGAATGTGAATGTAATATTGAAATACTTGGGAGTCACTTTCAAGAATACGAATATAGCCAATATTTTCCGTTAACAATATTTATATTTTGTTGAAATGTCGATGCAGTTGTTTTTGAATTTTTCTGCGAATGGATGAGGTCCATATATAATAGTTATCCATATTGTTTTTATTCTTTTAATTCCAAATTGTCACAATCTAACTATACTGATTTTTATATATTTTTGTTTTCCGTTATGTTTCTTCCATTTTTATTAAGGGTGGATATTTTATTTTTGTAATTACGAAGAATTTCAGTTCAAATTTAGATATTATAATGTGTTTTTTAATTTGTTCAAATAGATAAAATGTAGTATATATTATTCATAACTGAATGAATTTAAATAGATAACTTAGTTTTTTCTCTTTAAAATTTTCGATTTTTAATCTAATATTATAAAGAATTGATAAACTCAATCTAAATAGAAAACACTAATATCTAAACTATATAATAATCGAATGTAGAATCTAAACATTTTGTTTGTTATGAACAATAAAATCGCTGTTTAAGCTAGGTAACTGACCTAATTTTAAAATTTATAATAAACATGTATTAACTATAAATTTATGAGGACAACTGCGGAATTGAAAATATCAATCCCAATATATGTGTTTGTTCTTTCAATACGTTGTAATAATCACACTAACGCAGAAGACATTTTATAATGACAGGTCCATTCATTACATTATAAAATATCAATTACATGTGTGTACCTGAAAAATATTAGTTTTGACATTGGACATTGTTTTCATGGAAATAATCGTTTGCTAAACACCACCAAAAAAAATGAAATGGAAAAGTGTAGAAAATAAGGGAAAATCAGTGATGTGGGCCCAGAAAGCGACTACGTGGACCACACAAGAATCCAAGAGCCGACCAATTAGAACCCTAAGAGAAGGATTATCTTTAAGAATCAACCAATAAGAATAGAGATAAACCACCGTGCAGGTCCCACACTCAAAGTGCATCAAATTTAACAAAATAAGCTCAGTTCCTACGTGTGTGGGGACCTGTCCGAACGGCCTTAACATAAAGCTACACTCTCTTTTTTATTTTAAAGCAAACATCCTTTCGATTCGCTCAAAAGATTCATTGGAAACTCAACTCAATTTATGAGTTATTAACCACTTAAAAAAGCTTGGTCTGCTTGTTGTCAATGGTGATTAGGGCATAACTAAGTACGATGAAGAGTTCGGCTAATGCGGTCGGGGGCAAGACCGCGAGGGCTTGTGACAGCTGCGTTAAGAGGCGTGCTCGGTGGTATTGCCCCTCCGATGACGCTTTCCTTTGCCAGGCTTGCGACGGGTCCGTCCATTCAGCCAACCCACTAGCCCGCCGGCCCGAGCGGGTCCGCTTGAAATCCGCAAGCTCGAGCAGAACCCACCGCCCGACCACTGTATCCCCTCCCGGAACAGCCAAGTGGCACCATGGGTTCACGCGTAAAGCTCGGACTCCACGCGGCAGCGGCTCTGCTGGGAAACCTAATCAACGTGCGGTATTCTTCCACGACCTCGTGCCGGAGATCAGCGTCGAGGATCAGACAGAAAACTACGAGGAAGAGCAACTGATTTTTCAAGTGCCGGTTCTTGATCCCACGGTCTCGGAGCAATACAGAGACGACGCGATTGAGGAGAAGACCGGTTTTCCGTTACCGGAACTTATTAAATTTGCCGACATGAACGAGGAGAACGATGAAGACAACGCCGAGAGTTGTCTCGACCGGTTTTTTCCAACAGATATGGAGCTTGCGGAGTTTGCAGCTGACGTTGATACTCTGCTCGGACACAACTTAGAGACAGAATCTTTTGCCACGGAGGACCTAGGGTTAGGTGATGGTTTGTCAGTTTGTGGACGATCTTCTTCTATGATGCTGAAACTGGAAAACGAAGACGTCCACGAAGAAGAAACTGTAGCACGAGAAGGCACACCTATGGAACTATTTTACGAACGCAAGGGCATGGATATGACGCCATTTGAGTTGAGCTTTGATCAAGATCACTCACACAGGGCATTCGAAGAAGAAGAAGAAGACGAAGAAAAAAACGTGATAAATGTTAACACTGGCGAGAGAGAAAGTGTTAGAAGTGGCGGCAGTAGTAATATCTCACATTCCATAAAGAAGAAGAATGTTCTTATGCTGAGATTAAACCACGAAGCGGTGATTTCCACGTGGGGAGGCAAAGGACCGCCTTGGACCGCCGGAAAACCGCCGGAGCTTGACTTGGACGACAACTCTTGGCATATTTCTATGGTATGTTATTTTTTTAAGTGAAAAGATTAATTTTTTTCCCGTAAATAGAGCTCATTTAGCTCTTATTTTCAGGGTGAAAATGGAAATGAAGTTCCTCTCGACCGATACGGGGGTAGATTTTGCGGGTTAGGGTTACAAGCGGCGATGATGGACGGAGGAAGAGAGGCTAGGGTTTCGAGATATAGAGAGAAGAGGAGGACGAGGTTGTTTTCGAAGAAGATAAGGTACGAGGTACGGAAACTAAATGCAGAGAAGAGGCCTCGGATGAAAGGAAGATTTGTCAAAAGAGCCTCGATTGCTTCAATAACTTCATCACTTCCGCTGCTCACTAAGTAGATGAAGAGTTCATCACTATATCATAATATATGTATCATCTTACTTCAGCTTTTAAGTTTAATTTTCGGCAGCTTTTAAATTTTTCTGTAACAAAAGTTTTGCTTTTACTCTGTTGAGCTTGGTATTGTTCATATTATAATTACCAATATGTAACTGATTTGAACACATGTTACATGTGTCTCTTGTATATATCTTTTTTTTTTGGATAATCCGAAGTTCATCGGATCTTTGACCCGACTACATCTCCCAGAGGACCGGGGAAGCCCAGGTGAATGCCCCTCCCCACGCTTGGATTTGAACCTACTCTTGTATATATCTTTGTTGATTATAAACTTACATTTTGGTGAATCAGTCTCGTTTATGTATGCAATGAGTAGTTTAAAATATACGGTGAAGGATGTTATTACTTTCAACCAGGAAAGAGAAAAAGGAAAGACAATATATAGTTTCGATTTTTAACGGACATGATTTACATTTAGGGAAAATCTCATATAACTGCTCAAACTCTTCCAAATGTGCCAAACAAGTACCTAAATAATTAACTTTGTCTAATTAGTACCTCAGCTATTTGATTGTGCCAACATAGTATTGGCAATGCACAATTTCGAACCTAATTTTAATTTAGGATTTTGATTTTATACCGGTTTTGTCGTTATGATAGTATTGCTAACCGAAAAATTTTATCCTTCCAACGTGGAAAAAATTGACGACGTGTCGTGTTACGTTACAAGTCATGTAATGGAAAACGATTACAACAAATGCCGTTAAAAGTGAAATTGGGAAGTGAAGGACACAAATGAATTCATTACAAAGTCGCATACAAAGAACTAGAGCAACACAACCTTCAATCTCCTATTTGCTCTAGCTTAATCTAACAAATATCTAATGTATATATCCCGTACATGACCCTGATGTTTTGACGAAGAAAGAAGTTTCGTCAACGGGTCGACGATG